TTCACTCCCCCACCTACAATCCCTGCCAGACCTGAGACTTGAACCCACGACTTTCAGATTCACCTTCAGGTTACAAGTCCGACTCTCTGACCATTAGGCCATGACTGCCCCATATAATGATGGCCATTGAGCTCTAGAGTGCAGTTCAGTGGTGCGTAGAGTATTTGCAGTCAGTAATGGACAGTGCTCAATTGATCAAAGGTTAAGGCTCTGGGATACTGATCAGAAGGTTGGGGGTTTAAGCCCTGGCACTGCCCTTATCCCTCTCTGCTCCAGGGCTCATGAGATCAGGCACCAGCTTCCTAAAAAGCTGCTCTTGTGAAAAAAAAGAATTTCGCTGTATTTTATTAGGGTAATGATGGCTCAATGGTCAAGGCCAGGGGTTCAAGCCGCAGCAGTGCCACTGCCTTGAGCAAGGCCTTGACCGTCTCTGTTCCAGGGTTGCCTTATCATGTCTGACTCTGCACTCTGACCCCAGCTTCCTAGGCTGGGATATGTGAAGAAAGCATTTTCTAATCTTAAACAGGTCACACAGTACTACCTCCATTCATTGTCATTTGCACGTCACTTGGACTTTACTTTCTCATTGTCTCTTTGCACTTTATACTTAATGCGACTTGCTGTTTTGCACTTCGGTTTAGATGCTAACTGCATTGGCATTGGCTTTGTAATCTGCTCAATGACAATACAGTTAGTCATCTAGTCTAATCTAATCTAATAAACCATAACACACAGTGATATACACTGTTTAGGATAAACATTGGGCAGAGCTGGTCATGTATAGTAGATTACCATAATACAGTATCTAAGACACAAAAAGGTAGAATGGACTAATATTAGAAATGGTAGTGTACATTAGACAGCTTATCACAAAGTTATAAATATATAAACAGAACAATATGGGACCCAGAACAGAAATGGCCTGGACTGAGGAGGTACACACGGCTATCTGTACGCATTGTATTCTAGTGCTGAGAGATATTTAGCAAACCGAGCAACAGCCCAATTAAACCACCAAAGCTGAGCAATCTGTTCAAACATATACATTGATCAATTGTTTCAAAAGCCTTTGAAAGATCAATGAATGCAGCACTTTAAGCAGCACTACTTCAGTCCAATGCCTCAGTAATGTCATCCACAACCTTGAAATTCAGAAACTGAAAAAACTGATAGTGTGGATCTTTTGTTCAACATAACCAGACCATTCAGGATTTAAAGAATCAAATAAAAATCAGAATGCAGGAAAATCAGGCAAAGTCTGTGTAGTGAAATTTGCCATTGTCCAAAATTTCTATTGATCATTAAGATTTTTTTCCTAACGCTCAATCGCTGATCACCATTCTGAAGTGCTCTTCTTTGTTCGTGGCTTTAAACTCTTCTCTTGGTGATATTTACAGTAATAAAAGTGAGTTATTCCATCTATTTCCTAACTCCTCAATACCAAATGCATTTTGTCTGCATTTTTGATAGAAATTATAACATTCGTAAATACATAAAGGGTTAGTTTGCGGTGCCGTGATCAAAGATGACTTCTTTCTATAAGAATATATTGTAAACTATAATTTTCTAATCTGATCAAACATGTGTTAGCTGCTTTCCCCTGAAAAGTTATAGCTGCTCAGCTCCATGGGCAGGACGTCAGCCTGTTTCCATACACTCGCACAGTTTGTCTCTATAACCATTATCAGTTTTTGGGCTCTATAACCTGTCCGATATAGTACGTGCAACTTAGCAATCTGCTATCCAGTTTATTTTGATGTCAGGAGTTAAATGTCACCGTTTTGTAATGGTGCATGCAGGCATTTGCGGTTTGAGCTATTCATTTACAGTACTGTGTAAAAGTCTTGGCACCCCCCCAAGCGAGTCGACAGTCAAAGTCTCCAGAAGAACTGCGGCTGCTTCTGCAAGATGCTCAGTAACACTTCCAGCTCATTTCCTTATCAAACTGCACACACTGCACCTGAGACACTGTTTATTTATTTAAAGCCAAGGATCGTCACATTAAATACTGACTCTGTGTCATTTATTACTGTTTACTGCTCTTTATAGGGTTTAT